CCGCTGCCCGCCGCCGCTTGCTGCCCGGCCTCTCGTCTGCCCCCGTTGTGTTTTTCTCGGTGTGATTGCTTCTCTCTGGATCCCAGACCTTCCTGGTATCCGCAGATTTCGGGTCTCCGCGGCCCGCGTGTGACGTTGGGGACGCCCCGCGGACAGGGCGGTTGGGGCGGACTCCCAGACGGTCTCTCTGGTCCTCCCTGTAGGTCTTCAAAGCTGCACCTTTCCCCGAAGGCAGATGTGAAGAGCTTAATCTCTTACGTGGCGACTAAGACAAAAGCGATCAATGGGAAATACCATCGGTTTTTGGAACGTAATTTCCCCCGCTTCTATCTCCTGTACACCACCTTCACAAAAGGTAAAAACAGAGCTGAAACGGGAACCGGCGGAACCGGCTCGAGGGCGATGTCAGAGGGTTCGAGCAAGCTAATTTGCAGGTTTTGCTCTGGGAACGTGAGCTGGGATGTCTTATGTTTCACAAGTGCTTGAGGATTAAACCTAATGTTATAAGTTAGCGCTTCCTGAGGATGTTTCTAGAAAGGTTTTATTAGAAACAACTTCTGCCCTAGCTGGTCTGGCTCAGTGGATCGAGCGTCGGCCTGCGGACTCAAGGGTCCCAGGTTCGATTCCGGTCAAGGGCATGTACCTTGGCTGCGGGCACATCACCAGTGGGGGGTGTGCAGGAAGCAGCTGATCGATGTTTCTCTCTCATCGATGTTTCTAGCTCTCTATCCCTCTCCCTTCCTCTCTGTAGAAAATCAGTAAAATATATTTTTTAAAAAAGAAAAGAAACAACTTCTAACAATATCCAGAAGGAATATGGGTATTTTTGCACTTCTTTAACCACACACTTGACTATAGTAGAAGTTCTTTTTTTTTTTTTTTAATATGTTTTATTGATTTTTTACAGAGAGGAAAGGAGAGGGATAGAGAGCTAGAAACATCAATCAGCTGTCTCCTGCACACTCCCTAATGGGGATGTGCCCGCACCCAAGGTACATGCCCTTGACCAGAATCGGACCTGGGACCCTTGAGTCCGAAGGCCGACGCTCTACCCACTGAGCCAAACCGGTCAGGGCAGTAGAAGTTCTTTGTCCTGCATAAGGGCAGGGATCTATGGCTGCACAGACCTGCCCTTTGATTTAGCAGTTGACTTGGCCCATAAGAAATGTGGTTTAATGTTTATCACAGATCTGTCCTAGGCAGCATGTGCTGGAAATAGTGCTGTAGTACTTGGTTTCGGACTGTTTTGGTCCCGATCAGAGCTCTGCTAGTCACCAGGAGATGGTATAGTGTCAGCGTCTTCTCCAGAGCCGGAGTGCCTGGGTTCAAATCCCAGCTTGTCGCTGGCTGATTGGACTAGTTACTTAACCTCTGTCCTTTGGGTTTTTCTTTTCTTTTTTTTTTAGTATATATTTTTATTGACTTCTGAGAGGAAGGGAGAGCGAGAGGGAGAGAGAGACAGAAACATCAATGATGAGAGAGAATCGGTGATCAGCTGCCTCCTGCACGCCCCCACTGGGGACCGAGCCAGACACCTGGGCATGTGCCCTGACCCGGACTCCAACTGCAGCCTCCTGGCTCATAGGTCCACGCTCAACCCGTGACCCACAGGGGCCGGGCTGTCCTTTGGTTTTCTTACCTGTGAATTGGGGATAATAATGGAACCTACCTGTTGACCTCATGGTTGTGGAGATTAAATTGATACATGTAAAGGCCTGATTCTTAGTAAGTGCTCAATAAATGTACTATAACTGTTATTATTCTCTATACTTTTGTCATAATACCAGTTACAATAAACTACCACATAGTATCATAATTATTACTAGCTTTGTGGATTTGCAAGTTGCTTACCTGTATTTGTAAAGTGGAGATAAAAAGTGGCTGCTTTGTCTGCTCCCACTTTATAAATAGGATCAAATAGAAAAGGGTGTGAAAGCATTTTGGTTAGTTTGCTATTAAGCCTTTTATTATGGAAAAATACACAGAAGTAGAGAAAATAATATAATGAACTCCAGTGTACACAACCTCACTTCAGCCAATCTTATTTCATTTCTAAACATGCCTTCTCCTGTATTATTTTGAAGCCAACCTAGACATTCTGTCATTTCACTCATAAATAGGAAAGCATTTTTCCACTGAGCCAAACTGGTTGGGGCATAGGAAAGCATTTTTAAAAACTAAATTCTAGATAAATGTAAGAATTATGTAATGAAGAGCAAAATGCAATCATAGAAATATGTTGAATTACAGTAATTATACAAATGTTCTAGAAAGGAGATAAATATCTGGTTAGGGAATACATAGGGTTGATTGAGCAAGACTTCCTGAGGTTAGCAAACTTTGAATTTTTATTTTTTTAATTCTCACCCAAGTATATGTTTTATTGATTTTCTAGAGAGGGAGGGAGGGAGGGAGGGAGAAACATCAGTTACCTACCTTACGATCAAACCACAACCTAGGTATGTGCCCTGACCAGAAGTCAAGCCCACAACCTTTTGGTGTACAGGATGATACGCTAATCAATTGAGCCACTCAGCCAGGGCGAATTTTTATTTTATTTTATTTTTTAAAATTTTTATTGTTGAAAGTATTACATATGTCCCTCTTTTTCCCCCATTGACCCTCTCTAGCCTGCCCCCGTCCCCTGAATTTTTATTTTAAAAAGGGAATGACGCCCTGGCCGGTGTTTTCAGTGGTTAGAGAATTGGCCCACACAGCAAAGGGTCAAGCATTTGATTCTGGTCAAGGCCACATACATGGGCAACCAATCGATGTGTCTCTCTCACATTCATGTTTCTCTTTTTCCTTTCTTCTCTTCTCCCTTCACTCTTCCCTCATTTCCCTTCCCTCTCTCCCTTCCACTCTCTCTAAAAATCAGTGGGGGAAAAACACAACATAAAAATCAATGGAGCCCTAGCTGGTTTGGCTCAGTGGATAGAGAGTCTCGGCCTGTGAACTGAAAGGTCCCAGGTTCGATTCCAGTCAAGGGCACATGCCCAGGTTTCGGGCTCAATCCCCAGTAGCGGGTGTGGAGGAGGCAGCTGATCAATGATTCTCTCATCATTGATGCTTCTATCTCATTTTCTCACTTTCCCTTCCTCTCTGAAATCAATAAAAATATTTTTTTTAAAAATTAATGGAAAAAAGATCCTCTGGTGAGGATTTTTTAAAAAAAGGAATGAGTAATGAGCCACAAAAGGGAGACCATTCCATAGTAGATCACAGAAGGCCCACTTGGCTAGAAGAGAAGGGATGTGCTGCGGGAAAAGGGGTGAGAAAAGAGATACAGGTTGTCCTCACAAGAATTTCAAGTGACCTAGATGGGAGCTTTGATGTAATGTTGGGCAGGGACAAGTTGGTGTACGGTGGGTAAACTTGAAATAGGAAGTTGTGGTATGATTCAAACTGGGGTAACATCACACTCTGTCCTCTACTTTAATGAGGCAGGATTGCAGAAGTTATGGGCTGATGCCAAAAAGTCTAGAAGAATAAAGGCAGATATGGTGAAGCACAATGTAAAGTTTCATCAACTTTCATACCGGGAGATGGAGCATTTGAGACAGGTATGGGCCAGGGACAGATACCCAGAGTGCATGGGGAGGTAACAGAAATTAACCAGGATCTCAAGTTATTTTCTTTTCTATTTTGTTCCCCGCTGATCAGGCTTTTGCCCTTTGCTACGAGATTAAAGTATTGAACTAAATGAGAGTATCAGACTATTTGTCAGAATTGGATTCTTTCAGAGTTATAGTCCTCCAGAGCAGAGCTGCATAGAATTTGGGGCACACTTCCTAAATAAAAATTGTAAACACTAAAAGTCAGTTTTTTTCGGAACGTATAAAAATTTGCAAGGTTCTAAAAGGCAGCAGGAAAGTAATATTGGGTGGTGACTGGAGTCGCTTTGGAGCTGAGAGTAAGATTCTAGGACCCGTTCTGCAGAGCAGGAAGAACTCACTGAGGTATTTGGTATAATGTCAGGGTGCCTGTACGTATTAGACAATATTTGGGATACAAAAGTCAATCAGGGCTCTGTCCTCAAGGAACTTACCAACCACATGTAGATAGCAATAACCTTGATCCTTTGCTGGGCCGCAGGAGTTTACTGCACAGTGGGATGGAGGGATTGCCCATTAAGAATGTGGGTTAAAACTGCATCTGTGTTTATTTCTGCTTAGTTTCGTCGAGATGTCACCAAGTGTTTTTTTCTGGGTATTATTTCCATTCCACCCTTTGCCAACTACCTGGTCTTCTTGCTAATGTGAGTATAGACTTCTCTCTCCCTGGCATATTGATGATAAATAAATTTATGTAAGAAGAACTTTCCATTTCAGAAGCTAGGCAGAAGTTATCAAACTTCCTGCTCTAATCTTTTCATTAGCATTAGCCCAAGGTTCATAAAAGCCACTCAGTAATACCTAGGTTTCTTAAATATCTGTAGATGTAGGTGTCAAGCATGTCAAACTCAAAAGCTAACACAGTTCAAATAAACAAGGTTTAGGTTTATGTGGGCCACAAAAAAACAAAAGCTTCAATTTTCATAGAAATGTAGGTTTATTTCGATAGAGACATGCTGAATACAAAGGGCTGAAATAAATGAGTAATTGTTAACACAAAATAATAGAACATTTTAATAAAAGTTAATATTTTTTCTTGAACATTAACTTACCAGACACTGAATAACTGCACAAATTAATAAGTGTAACGCAAATAAACCTATTTTTCTTGTTATCCGAAAGCGAAATATTTCCTGTTGCGCACAACAAACAAGTCAGTACAAGACTAATGACGTGGCAATTGGCTGCTAAAATACTCACT